GAAAAGCCAAAAAAAAAAAAAAATTCTGACAAATTAGTAACTTCAATATGAACTATAACCAGGCTCAATTTATTCACGACACTCTTCCATTTCAATATTCCATATCACAGAAGAGCATCGATACCAATAAACATTTTCCTCTAGTTGACTAAGTGACTGATGATATTCTTACCTATCACATCAGTGGCAGACTGTACCCTTAGTTATCACAGCAAGGTTCCTGCAGGTCTCCTGCATCACATCTCTGTACAGACTCTTCTGGGAAGGATCCAGCAAAGCCCACTCTTCCTGGGTGAAGTGCACAGCCACATCCTCAAAGCTCACTGAGGCCTAAACATTGCACATACTTGATTGACAATAGCGTCACTCAACTCTGGGATCCACACATCTCTTCCATGACACGGAAGTTGTAACACTAGCACTGAGGGATGTGGAAGGAAGCAGCCCTGTAGCAGCACTCCTCTCATTGCTGGGCCCAGGGCACAGGATGTGCTGCTGCTCTGTCCTGATTCTCTTTCTAAGGTGCATTGCTACTTCCTGTCTCAGAGTCTTCCCACTTGATGTCTGGAACAGTGTTAACACTAGCATGCAAGTGCCTGCTTAGAAATTCCTCCTCACACTACTTAAATTTTCAATGCATGAGGGAACATTTTGTTAGAGATCACATAATTAATAAATTACTCAGCATAAATGATTTATATAAACTCTATTACTTTCTAATCTCATTACTCTTCTTCAAACTCACATAGAGGATCAGACTTGTTCCCCTCTGTAGCGAGAGTTTCTGCAGAGCTCTGCAGCTGGTTTGATTCTGGAGTGTTAGCACCTGACTTTGATCTGCCTTTTGTGTCCGGTACCTTCTGTTTGAAGTATGTAATTTTTTTTTTTAAAGGGAGAGGAGCTGGAGCCAGGTTCAGGGACCAGCACTTTCACACACTTTTTTTTTTTAAAGATTTATTTACTTATTATGTATACAGAAGAGGGCACCAGATCTCATTACAGATAGTTGTGAGCCACCATGTGGGTGCTGGGAATTGAACTCAGGACCTCTGGAAGAGCAGTTGGTACTCTTAACCTCTGAGCCATCTCTCTAGCCCCCTGAAGTTAGTAAATCTTATCTGAGAGTATCCTAAAGGTTCAAAGCCTATGTAAAACTTGGTCCTGGGAGGACTCAGGAAACTATGATGTTGTGCGACTGGGAATTGCTTTGGTATTTTTCTCTTTGGGGAGCTTCAGATAAGAGGTTTTGGTATGCAAAAATTGACTTGCTAAAGGTGTAAATTGTATAACAATAAAAAAAACCTATTGCAAAGCTACAGTCAGTCAGTTCCCCAGAGGCTGACTCCCCTGTGGGTGCAAAGGCTAAAATTCATCCTAGAGTGACCCTGTCCTGGAATTCACTCTGTAGACCAGGCTGGCCTTGAACTCACAGAGATCCATCTATCTCTGCCTCCTGAGGCAGTGCTGGGATTAAAGGCATGCACCACTACTGCCTGGCACCATCCTCTGTTATCTTCAAGTTCCTAATATTCATTGGGACCTCAGCTGTCCCTAGTGACTCCAAGAGCCGGCCCAAAGGGGGCAGATTTCTCTTATATTTCCTCCAGTTGATATGTAGTTTCTTTACCTCCCAGCACTCAGATGGATTTTATCTGTCCCCATATTTCAGTTTCAGGGATCCATGTGACCAATTCCTTCACTGTTTAAAAGTCTTTACCAGTGGTTAAGAGCAAGCACTTGCTGCTCTTGTGTACAACCCAGAGTTCAGTTTCCACTCCCCACATAGTAGTTTATAATCATCTTTAACTCCAGTTCCAGGGAATCTGAGACCCTCTTTTGGCTTCCATGGGTACCAGGCATGCATGTAGTATACATACATACATGCAGACAAAGCACTCATACAATAAAAGTGATAAACATCTCTAATAATTCAACACTTGACAGAACACGCTGTATCATGGTCTCTTGTACTGAGCCATTTTTAAGTGTCCCCATCTGCATGAGGACTCATGGACCTTCTCAAGGGTCAGGCCTAAGGTGTACCTTTTCCACCTTTACCTTGTTGCCTCCCTCCTCAGCCTCTCTCCCCATGGCATCCCTTTTCTGGATCCCAGGATGAGCTCTTTAGCACAGATCTAATTTGTGCTCTTTTCTTTGCATCCTGCTAAATTTAAAGGAAAAAACAAAACTGAAGAAGAAAGGGTTTTATCACAATCCATCAGGGAAGGAAGTCAGGAAGCCAGGCAGGAACCTGGAGGAAGGAGCTAATGCAGAAGTCATGGAGGGGTGCTGCTTATTGGCTTGTTCCCCATGGCTTGCTCATTCTGCTTTCTTATAGCATCCAGGACCACCAGGCCAGGGGTGACTCAACCCACAGTGGGATGGGCCCTCCCACATCAATTGCTAATTAAGAAAGTGCTACATAAGTTTGCCTTATGTTATGGGGGCATTTTTTTTCAACTGAGGGTCCCTCTTCCCAAATGACTGTAGCTTGTGTCAAGTTGACATAAAACTAGGCAGAGCACCATCCAACTGATACTACATCCTACTTAATATTGTGCCTCATAAAAAATATGCTCAGAGACTGAAATAAATTTATTTTTTTCTCTTTAGAGACAAGCCTTGGCTTGTCTGGAACTCACTGTGTAAACCTGGTCGACCTTGACCTCTCAGAACTCTGCCTCCCAACTGCTGGGATTAAGGTATGTATCACCATGCCCTGCTGCAATACATTCTCTAATCAATGTTGAGGGGAAGCCCTTACCTATAGGAAGGCATGCCACCAAATACCAAGTAGAAGATGGCCACCCCAGTACTCCTCCCAGTGACACTCAAAGCTTTGTCTTGGTTGCACATTCTATCATCCATCTCATGAAGCCAGAAACCACAAAGAGCAAAATCATCTCATACCACACAGGGAAAGGTAGTTTTCATATCTGTTGCTGTGATAAAACATCTTAAAAGAAACTCTGAGTGTGTGTGTGTGTGTGGTTTATTTGGGTTACAGTTCATGTAACAGTACATCATTGAGGGGATTCAAGGCAGGAATTTGAAGGCAGGCCTTCAAGTTTTGCTATTATACACAGCATTACCTCTGGCCGAAGAACTCACTTCACAGCCAATGAAGGGCAGCAAGAACCACAGTGGATGTTGCTGGCTGGTAGGAAGGCAGGTTAATGCTGGACTAGCACTCAGGAACATATATTTAAGGAATAGTGCTGCCCACAGTGGAATGGGCCTTCCTACATCAATTAACCATCAAGACAGTCTCCCATTGACATGTACACAGGTCACTCTGATTTAGGAAATTCCTCGGCATTCTATTCATGAATTTCTACCATGTAGGCTCTACCTCTTTTTATCTAAAAGCATTTTCTCTTTAATATCCTTTACCCCCCCCAAATTATATCTACAATTGGCTGTTTGATAGCTTATTTATGTTTTTACTTTTTCTTTTTAATTAAAAAATTAGAAAACAGCCTGGCACACACCTTTAATCCTAGCACTTGGGAAGCAGAGGCAGGCAGATCTGAGTTTGAGGCTAGCCTGGGTTACCAAGTGAGACTCTGCCTCAAAATAAATATAAAAACTAGAAAAAATGTCAATTGTAATAGAATACTGATGTTACAGTGATGAAAGCAAGCCATACATAAAACACAGGAAAAACATATTGAACAGTCCTGGAGACTATTACTTCTCAATAAAACTAAACCAGTTTGAGATTTAAGTCCTTTTGTAACAAGCACTTAAAAATTGTTTTTCCCTAAAGGCATTTATTTCTGCCTAGTATATGTGGTCCACAGGACCCCACCCAGGTGTTTGTGCATGCTCAGAATTGTGCCAAAAGAACATCACCAGCCATCAATTCCATCTCTCTACATTCCTTCCTGTACCACACGATTTTACAAAGGACCCTGTAGAGAACTAGTAGACTGTATGTGTGCAATGAAAGGGGATTCAGTAGTAGAGTTTACATAGTGGGGCTGGGCAGCCCAATGACAGCCTTGTGCATGATGGGCAGTCCAGTAGCTTTTCAGGCTATGGAGCTGGATGCCTGAACTGTCTCATTTTGGCAGTCAAGGCCTGGAAGATTCTTAGAGTTGCTGCTATTCTTTCCATGTTGGAAGGCCAAATGATTTCTCTGGAGGACTGTGGCAGCAGCTACACCCACAACAATCAATAGGCACACTTCAGCACCAAGAAGCAAACACATGCAGGCAGGAGACAGGTATTTTTTATATCCTGGCCACAAGGCAAAAGCTGCCACCATGGTAGGCCTGTTCTTTATCATGGCCTTGATAGATGCTATGATGGGATACATAGAAGTCATCTTGCCCAATGAGGGGCTTATCAGCGAGGGATGTAAATATGTTCTCACTTGTGTGGAAACTGCCACAGGCCTTTTATAAGCACTTCCATGCATAAGGGGTCTCACCCAACTCCGTGTTATATATAGGTGCCAGCAGAAGGGTGAGGGGCAAAAGTAGTCATTAATACTGATGCACAGAGCCCATTTAACAGCAACCAGCTCCAATCATACTTCACCTGACTTATAAACCCACTGCACCTGGAGTTTTGTTTTTAATGGGTTATTAAGGTAATGGCTAAAGTGTTTAAGTAGTGAAGGTATTCTGCATGGGGAGGGCACTCCCAGTGGTTGCTAAATAAAGACCCAAGTGCCAGGAGTGGGATACCTGCTGTAATTTGTTGGTCAAGGAGGCCCCTGAGGTACCACAAACCATAAAGGTTATTGTCACTGCTCCTGGTTCCATGCCAGAACTAGATGGCAAGACCTTAGTGCTGAAGAGCCCACAGCCACTGGTGAAGCTGCTAAGTGAGGGTTGCTGTGGCATAGGAGTGCAATGCTTTGTTATAGAGCCCTGTTTATACCACCCCACCAAGGTTCAAAAACATTTAAAAAAATGTAAGAGCCAGAAACATTGCTAACGATTTCCTTTGAACTGAAACATTGCCTATAAGAGGGAGGCTGGAGTCAGGCAGTGGTGGCACACACCTTTAATTCCAGCACTCAGGAGGCAGAGGCAGGTGGATCTCTGTGAGTTTGAGGCCAGCCTGGTCTACAGAGCAAGTTCTAGGACAGACAGGGATACACAAAGAAACCCTGTCTCAAAAAACAAAAAACAAAAGAAAAAGAAAAAGTAGGAGGCTGGCGACTTGGTAAGTAAACAACTAACAAACTGCAGAAAACTAAGCCTTAAAAGATTTACAAGGCTTTCTCCTTGGTTACAAAAGCAGTAAACAGCTGCTGAGAGAAGAGACTTTCTGGTCAGTTGAGCTGCCTGCCAAGCTTTGCAGAGATCTCCAGAATGGTAGCTCCTGTGAGTCATCACTCAGGACGGGATAGCATTTTGAAAATGCAGCTGTCCATAGTTGTCCATGTTCCTAGACGTAATCCTAACACAACCATTGGTTTGCCTAGCTGGACTTTGGCGGAATCATTATTTTCTGGGGCATGTAGACATTTGCTTGTGAGTTCTTTCATGTCTTTGGAGATGACTGTTCCGACTGAAGGCTTTACCACACTGTTTACAACCATAGGGTTTTTCTCCAGTATGGGTTGTTTCATGCCTCTGAAGATGACCATGACATATAAAGGCTTTACCACATTCTTTACATACAAAGGGTCTGTCTCCAGTATGAATTTTTTCATGTAATTGTAGATTACTGTAACATCCAAAAGCTTTGCCACATTCTGTACATACAAAGGGTCTGTCTCCAGTATGAATTTTTTCATGTAACTCAAGATTACTGTAACATTCAAAAGATCGGCCACACTGTTTGCATATAAAGGGTCTGTCTTCAGTATGAGTTTGTTCATGTCTCTGCCGATGACTGTTAAGTCTAAAAGCTCTACCACATTGTTTGCATACATAGGGTTTTTCTCCAGTATGAATTTTTTCATGTACTTGAAGATCACTATGACGTCTAAAGGCTTTACCACATTGTTTACATTCATGACGTTTTTCTCCAGTATGAATTTTTTCATGTACCTGCAAGGCACCAGGAAATATAAATGCTTTCCCACATTGTTTACATTCATATGGTTTTTCACCAGTATGAATTCTTTCATGTAAGTGAAGGTAACTGTGGTATCTAAAGGCTTTCCCACATTGTTTGCATTTATAGGGTTTTTTCTCAGTATGAATTCTCTCATGCCTTCTAAGTGAACTGTAAGAACTCAAAGCTTTACCACACTGATTACATTCATAACATTTTCCTTCAGCATGAGTTCCTCCATGTGTGCATAGTGAACTAATATTAACAGAGGTCTTTCCACATTCCTTGTATTGATACGGATTTTTTCCACTATTAGTTTCCTGATGCATTTCCAGTGTTTTTGGAAAACTAAAATATTTTAAACATACCTCACATTCACATGGCCCATTCACAACATGAGTTCTCATGTACCTCTGGAAGCTTATCAGAGAATCAGGGTTACACTGCTTGTTCATATATTCCTCATGTTCATGTGGGTTATACTGATAGTGAGATATGTCATGCCTACAAGAGGATGAGAGATACCAGGAAATCTTTCCCCATACAGTGTGATCACATGATGTTAGTCCAGTGGAACTTTTCATGCTCATACTGAGATTTGGTTTCCAAGTCAAGTTTTCTCTATCTTGATTACCACCTTCATTCTCACAGGTCTGTAACAAGTAACTTCTGTAAAGAAAACACAAACACAAACCACAACAACAAAGGACAAGCAATTTAGTAATAGTTGTTTTATTAGGTCTAGGTTATACATAGTTCCAAAAATCAGACAAGATTTATGCCTTTTTCCAGATCTGAGTGGCCAGAAACTAAATGGGCTGATGTTCCACATGCTGAGTCTCACAGAGCTTTGATCAAAACAGTGATATTCATTAACTCAAGTTCTTATATTTTCAAGTGAAATGCTCTGGTAGCACTAATCAGCATGCTTATATTTTAGTACCTATTAACTGTAGTTTTGGTAAAAATATTTTAATAAAAATTCACATTGTGCCTATTTGTTTAGTTTGCTTATTTGCAAATTTTTGTAGCACATCAAAATTATTTTAAAGACTTCCTCTCATGGTCACTACTGAAGAACCACAGAATTCTTCAAACTCTGTGGCCATGTGTAGGGAGTGAAGGAAGCCCTGAGTGAGTGAAGTTCTGAGTAAATGCATGTTTTGACATGGGCATGGCCTGTTGAGGACTCCAAGACTAATTGGCCCACAGTAAATTGGCAAAGCCATTATTCATATGGCCCACACTTAAAAGGGATGGCAAAGCTTTCTTTAGGAGTCTGAGTCTGACTGTTTCTGAACAACTGATCAATGTGAGTAAAGATTAGCAACTGCAGTTTCCTCTTCCCAGATATTTATGGCCTGAGTCTGTCCATCTACAGAGACCTCCTACCCAGACTAGCTAACTCCTCCCTGATGCCACAGTTCCAGGTTGCTGCAGTAGCAATGGCAGTAGCAGTTACAGAATTCCATCCTATCCCAGCTTCATTGTATATGTGGCTGTTCTTTCTTCATTCCTTCACCACCCCTAACCAGGGTTCCTGAACCCAAGCTACTCAGGACTCCAAAGCCATGGGCCACAAAGTGATTAAAAACACGAGCAAGCTGAGGTACAGCTGGCTCCAAACACACCAAGCTCATGTGAGACCCAATCAGAAGAGGTGGGGCTTTGTGTCCTATGAGCAGCTCTTCATGGAACTGCTCAATGTCTCCAGGGATAAGAAAGCACTCAAATTCATTATGAAGAGGATGGGTAGGTCATCCACACCATGTCAAGACAAAGCCAGAAAAGTTGAGTAACATACTAGCAGCTAGGAGGAAAGCTGGGGCAAAGAAAGCCTGTCCCCTCTCAACAGATTTTTATACCTTTAAAAAAATCCCTTCTGAATGCACATTACCTTAGATTTCTCCTAGGACTTTTATAATGGTCTTCAATGTTCTGTTTTTCCCATTTGTGTCCTAAAAGGTAGTCCCAGAAAATTTAGGATAAATTAGAAATTACTAAAAAACCAGTTTTTTTGCTTTGGTTTAACATTAAAACCATGTCTGATATATTTAACATAACAGTCTAAATCCTAGAAGAGCAAAGATACCAAGAGATACTTGCTCCCCAATTTGCAAAGTGACAGAAAGATCCTTACCTATCGCAGCCAGGTTCCTGCAGGTCTCCTGCATCACATCTCTGTACAGACTCTTCTGGGAAGGATCCAGCAAAGCCCACTCTTCCTGGGTGAAGTGCACAGCCACATCCTCAAAGCTCACTGAGGCCTAAACATTGCACATACTTGATTGACAATAGCGTCACTCAACTCTGGGATCCACACATCTCTTCCATGACACGGAAGTTGTAACACTAGCACTGAGGGATGTGGAAGGAAGCAGCCCTGTAGCAGCACTCCTCTCATTGCTGGGCCCAGGGCACAGGATGTGCTGCTGCTCTGTCCTGATCCTCTTTCTAAGGTGCATTACTACTTCCTGTCTCAGAGTCTTCCCACTTGATGTCTGGAACAGTGTTAACACTAGCATGCAAGCGCCTGCTTGTCCTGGTAGCAATGTTTAAGTTAAAAAATATATCGCTTTACTTATGCATATGTGGATATGCCTGATTGTATGTACGTATGTACACTGTGTGTGTTCAGAGGTCCATAGAGGTTGGTAGAGGCATTAGATCCTCTGGAACTGGAGTTATGGAGAGTTTTGAGGCACCCTGTGGATGCTAGGCACTAAACACAGCAGATCCTCTGCAAGAACATTCAGTTCTCTTAACTTCTCAGCCATTTCTCCAACCTGAATGTTAAAATTTGATGGTGTAAGTGAACTTAACATCTTGGTAGAGAATGCATGAATACAAATGATAAATAAATCACTCAGCATACATGTTTTATGTCTATCTTATGGCACAGTCATATTACACTCATAAATTTACATTTCAACACAATGCCATGAACTACACAGGTGTGCACTTCTGATTTAAGATTAATCATGGCTAGTCAGGCCTTCATTTTTCCAGATTTCTCCACATGATCAACCCATAGCCAGTGTCTCGGTGACACTCATCTCCAAGTCACCTCTAGCCTGACTATCCAGACAAAACTTCAGTGGCTACAAAGTGAAAGTGGGATTTACCTCCATGATGGAAGTCCACTACTGCTGCAGCTTAGAATGTTGACACAAGCAACCTTCAGATGAACAGGAGCTCTGTTATGTCTATACATGCCTTTTCAACTGACAGTCCGCACCATGAAGGCCCACGGAGGGCCTGGCACTCTCCATTCCCTCTGACTTCTATGTGGGAAGTACATGCAACTGGTATATATTTGATCCTCATACCTCATGTGACATTTCATGATATGTTAACAAATGTCTTCTTACCCCAAATTGGGAAATAATGACATGAAACTACCCAAGTTTGGTATAGCAATGAGTTTATTGTAGTTACTCACAGGAGTGAGTGAAAGCTTACCTCAGCATGGATAAGGACTCCCTAAAACTGTGGTGGGTTTCCTGTAACAGGGAGATTTTGAGCTAGTCATGCTCTTTAGCATATGTTAGTGTTTATGTTACTGTGGATGTGTACATTAAGTACTGTGAGTTTTGTTTTAGGAGATTCCTGAACCTTCCAGGTTTATTTTTTGAGTGTTGTCCCTTCATAAGAAAAATGTAAATTTACACAATGAGATATATTTTAAGGTGAAAAGAAAAGCCATAAGGAAATGATAATTTCAAACATTAAAACTGGAAATTGAAACCTGCAAATCAGACTGACAGAGAAATCCAGAATATATGCAACATAACAGAACTTACGTGAGGGCTAGAGAAATGGCTCACATTGTTCTTGCAAAGGACCTGAGTTCAATTTCCAGCACCCACATCAGGCAGCTCACAACTGCCTGGAGCTCCACTTTCAGGAAGCTGACACCTCTCTGGCCTCTTTGAGCACACACACAAAACATACACATACACATGACACCTCTCTGAGCACATACACAGACACAGACATACACACACATAAACAAATAATAAAATGAACACATGCTTTACAAAGGAACAATAGGCAAACATGAATATTTATGTGTGCATAATATATGGAGATGAAAAAACTATTGGTATAGAAATAGAAACAGTAAAAATAAAAAGTCAAGCAAATGACTTCTCACACTGAGAACATCAACAAAAATCACCCACTTAGGTAATAAGCATAACAAGAAGAAAAATTTATGAATGAATGGTGTCTAGGCTGGGCTTGGTGGTGCATACCTGAGGCAGAAGCAGGCAGATCTCTGTGAATTTGAGGCCGGCCTGGTCTACATGGTGAATTCCAGGCCAGCCAGTGCTACATAATGAAAGACTCTGTACCAAACAAACAAGTTTATTCAAACATGGTACTCTTTCCCAGAATTAGAATTCTAAGTCTCTGTTTATGCCAGATGTGGTAGAACACCCCAACTCCAGAAATCAGATGACTGAGGGAGATCTCTAGTTCAAGTTCAGCTTGCACCTTGAAAATAAAACAAATAGACAAAAAAATTTTCTTTGATTTCCACAACGGGAATGGTTTGTTCTTTGTTTCTTCTACATTTCTTTTGGTATTTTAAGACAGGGTTTTTCTGTATAGTCCTGGCTGTCCTGGAACTTGCTCTGTAGACCAGGCTGCCTCGAACTCAGAGATCAGCCTGCCTCTGCCTTCTGAGTGCCAGGATTAAAGGTGTGCACCTTACCTGAGGGAATGGTTCTTAACATCACTCCTATGGCAAAATGATGTATCCTGGACTTCAAAACATTTTGAAATGGTGATTTTGCTTAAAGGAGTTGAAAATTCATCACATCAAAACAGGCCCTAGAGGATTATATTAGCACTACGCCTAACATGGGGCAATCAAGATGAGGATGTGCACACCCATGTCAAGGAACAAAATATACAAAACTCAATCACACTTCTAAACACACATGATAAAATACCTGAAAGTGTATTTGGAAAATACACATCTATTGGAAAAACACATCTATTTATCACTCAAAAAATAAACACACAAATCTAAATTCAACAGTTAATATAAAAGCTGTAGTTTGAAAACTATAAAGCTTGTTAAAAAATCTGATTTTTTTAAAACATTTCTCTATGTGTGCATGTGTAGGCATGCATTTGCCATAGTGCATGCGTGGAGGTGAAGGAACAAGAGGTCAAAGAAATACTTGTGACTTTCGATTCTCTCCTACTATGTGCCTTCCAGAGATTAACTCCAGGTCTTAAGACTTGGCAGCAAGAGCCCCCAACCCACTGAGGGATTCTGCTGGATGAAGAATCTAAGTGTTTTGTTTTGTTTTGTTTCTTCTGACACAGGTCCTCACTTGTGGTGTAGTCCTGAATTGCCTAGAACTCACTATGTACACATGGCTGACCTAGAGCTCAGAGGTCCGCCTGCTTCTATCTCCAGAATGCTGGAATGAAAGGCAAGCGCCAACATGCTGGAACCTAAGTTTAAGTAAAGGGAAAACTGTTCTCTTATTCAAGGTCATGAGCTTAGCAGTAAGATAAGATGGCAACAGTCCTTAAACACCTAAGGAACCCCAGTGGGTCAACCTTATCAGATTTGAAAACTGCTTCGGAAATTCATGGATTTGCAAGGAGCTTAGAATACAGGAATAGCCCTGGGAAAGAGCAAAGCAGAGATTCACCGTTCACAGTTCAAACTAACTTCAAAGCAATTAGCATCAAGGTAGGATAAGGCTGCACATGGGCCTAAGGAGCAATAGAGCACTTACCCAGCATGCCATGCACAATGCAAAAGCTCCTGCATTCAATCCCCAGACTGTGGAGGGAGGGGATATGTGTGTGTGTGTATACATATATATGTATATATATGGAAAAGAAAAATAAACTGTACTAGGCTCTGTGATACAGCTCAGCTGGTAAGAACCCTTGCAACACAAGCCAGACAAACTGAGGTCAGTCCGCAAACCAAGGAAGGAGAGCAATCATTCCATAAAGTTGTCCTGTGACCTCACACCTGTCTCACTGTACACCCCCGAGGGCACACAGAGCAGTAGGGGGGAGGGGGAGAGAGAAAGTGGGAAGCAGCGCACAGCACTGCACAGCGGAGGGGCAGCCAGGCGCAGGGATCCTCCACTCGGTAGACCCGTGAGTCCTGCTCCACGTATCTCCTCCCTGTCCAACCCTGGGGCGGTCCAGGGCGGCCCCTCTCCCCGAACAGCCGCGGGCTCACTCTGAAGCCCGCCTGCAGCGTTGCAATTGGGTACGTTCGATGCAAGCTGTCACAGTCCGCACTCAGAAAAATGTGCGTGGACGAAGGGGAGAGATGTCCCTCCCCTCGTCCTCAGGGAGGCGCCTCAAGGGGTCAGCGACCCCGCCCAGACTGGCGTTCTCGGTTCTGCAGCACGCGGCCCTCTTACAGCCGCCAGCCCTCCCGTTACCTGCCCGGTGTTGGCGACTTCGCCGTTTTAACTCTAATCTTCGCGTGAAGCCGAACTTTCCCGGAGCCGGTCCCACCCCTCCCCCAGCCCCGGGGAGGACCCAGCACACCGGCTCCCGCGGCTCAGCCGGACGCTCCGCCCCGTCTGGGGACAGCGGCCCCGCGCTCACCATGGCGCGGCCGCCGAGCTCCCCTCACAGCTCCGGGCAGCGGCAGTCACAGCTAAGAGCTGCGAACCCGCCGCGCCTCCCTCCACTGCTCACCGGAACGCACAGCGGGACTGCCGGAAGGAGCCCGCCTCCCGCTGCCCCTGGCGCTCCTGATTGGACGGTCCGTCTGAAGGTCCTGATTGGCTAGGACCGCACAGCGAATGACAGGCTGAGTGACAGAAGCGGATCCCACAACAGGAGCCCCACTGAATTGAGCACAGCCCTTCCAGCACTGCTTTCTGTCCTAGGAGACCTAGCTCAGCCCGAGAGAAATTTTCATAAAAACCAAACCTGCCGAGGTCGTGCAGGGTACTTCAGTCCTTGGTGATCTCCAAGCGCAGTTCGTATTCATCCTGGGTGGCTAGTGTCCACAGTCCATTTACTAACTCAGTGTCCAATGTAGCAGTTTCTTGCCTCAGGCCTAGAACTGATATTGGATCTTGGATCTGATGAACTCCACGAAACTGAAGTTTTACTCAGGCAAGCCAAAGATTTTGTTAGAGAGTGGACTGTCAAGCGCGATTTGGTGGTTCAAGTCCCCTTAATCCAGCACTCACACGGGAAGCAGAGACAGGTGGATCTCTGTGAGTTCTAGGCCAGCCTGGTCTACAGAATGAGATCTGGCCAGCAAAGTTGCACAAACTCTGGTCATTGTAAGAGGCCAGAACACAGGCGGAAGAAACCAGACTGTGCTGCAGCTCTTTCCTGGGGTAGTTAAGAAGCTGCTGTCTGTGATTTTACAACTCTTAATTTATAATCCAGCCCAGTACCTGGTCCTCCTGTGCTCATCTTCACAGTTGGAAATAAGATAATAACAACTTCCAAGAGAATGGAGAAAACTGAAGTCGTTTTTAAATAATCAGTTCTGTAAAAAGACATGGCAACATAGAGAAAAGGCAAAAAATGGCTGCTGATTTGGAACAAGACAATGTTTTTTTGAATATCCCCCATACCCTGGGGGAGAAATTCCTGTCATCTTCTCCCATAGGCCAAGTTTGCCAACTTCCCAATTTTCTCATCTAATTGGTTTAGGACACAAAGCCTTATCTAATGAATAATTTGGGATTTGGGGCTTCCCATTTTTCTTATCTTGGTTTCAGTTACATAGCAGACCACTTGTAACTCTCAGGGTTCTCAGATATGGGCAGGTACTAGTGCCTAGTACCTACTGCTTATCTCTGTAGCTGGTGAACTCTAAATACGCCTCTTGTCGAAATGGACCACAACAGCCTAATTCAATTGTTCTCAACCTGGGGTCATGACCCCCAAAGACCATTGGAAAACACAGATATTTACATTATGATTCATAATTAGCAAAATTACAGTTATGAAGTAGCAAGGAAAATAATTGTATGGTTGGGGCCATCACAACATGAGGTACTGTATTCAAGTGTCAAAACATCAGGAAGGTTGAGAAGTACAGTTGAGAAACCCCAGAACTAAGGAGGCATAAGCAACATGATCTAGATTTCAAGGTCAGCTATTGCTGCACAGTGTGTTTGAGACCAGCAGGGCCTAGATGACATCCTGCCTTGAGAAAACAAAATTAATAACTAAATAACACATGCCAAATATTTAAAAAGTGAAAGAAAAAACACACGCCAAAAAGGAAACAGAATTATTAGGGCATGTTAAAAATGTGGACTTTGGGGCTGGAGAGATGGCTCAGCGGTTAAGAACACTGGCTGTTCTTCCAGAGGTCCTGAGTTCAATTCCCAGCAACCACATGGTGGCTCACAACCATCTGTAATGGGATCTGGTGCCCTCTTCTGGCCTGCAAGGATATATGCAGACATTACACTGTATATATAATAAATAAATAAATCTTTAAAAAATGTGGACTTTGTAAAGAAGAGATTAGATCCTTGAAACAGTGAAATGAAAGAACCTGGCTATTGCCAAAAGCTCATATCTTAAGATCATTCTTAAGTATGCACAGAATTGACAAGCCCTTTGCTATATGACTTTAATAATGGTGGAGGCACTGGGAAGGTAAGCCATAATAATTTATCAGAGTTGCTAGGGTTGGAGACTGGGCCCTGATAGCTCTAATAAGCCAGGCTTGGACACCATCCCTGATAGGCAAGTTACACTGGCAAGCAATAGTTTAAAGACATATATATATATATATATATATATATATATATATATATATATATATTTTATTTTATATACATGTGTTTTATATATATGTATTATGTGTGTGTGTGTGTGTGTGTGTGTGTGTGTGTGTGTGTATTCAGTAGACTACATTGGTGATGAGAGAAGCAAAGAAGTCTAGTGACCTCAAGTCCCACTCCCGAGTCTATAAAGCAGTTAAGGTTTAATAGAAGGTGAGAGGCCAGTGTGGCTGGGCAGCTCTGGTGAAGGAGGTCTGTAAGGGCCTTTCTGGAGAGGACTAACCGAGGTGGCAAGAGCTACCCTGTAGATAGGGGCAGTATACACAGGGATGGGCCCAGACTTGCTTGAAAGGAGAAAGTGTGCTGGGCACTAGTTTTGGCCACTGCTTGCTGCTTCCAGACTGAAGGAGAAATGTGAGCAGCTACCTCACACTCCTGCCAGTGCAGGTACAGCCCCTCACACCAGCTTTCCTCACCATGACTGGAGCCAGATTTAACCCTCCCTGTCTGTGTAAGTTGCTTTTTTCAATTATTTGGTCACAAATAAGTAGCTGTAACAGAAAATTGGTATGGAGGACTGGAGTTCTTATCATGAGAAACCCGAGTGTGTGTTCTTGCCTTATAGAACTGATTTATAATGGGAATATAGAAGATTTGGGGTTCTGGATGACAGAAGCCCTAGAATGCTTTAAACAGAGCTGAATGCACCATTTGTGGGGGTGTTTGTGGCATCACAGCCCCTTTCTGGGACAACTGGGAAGGACTATGCTAAAGGGAAATTTTCATAGTGGGTAGAAATTTGGGGAGTTCACATGGTTATATATTTCCATGGAAGGTCTAACTCAGTGGTTCTCAACCTTCTCAATGCTATGACCCTTTAATATAGTTGCTCATGTTGTGGTGACCCCCAACTATACAATTATTTTCATTGCTACTTCATAACTGTAATGTTGCTACTGTTAGGAATCATAATGTAAATATGTGTTTTCCAATGGTCTTTGGGGGTCATGGTCCATAGGGTGAGAACCACTTGTAACTGATGATGCATGATAACATATGGGTTGTCTACTGATTTCTGTCATTTCCCAAAGGGCCAGTGAATGAAACAACCAAAGTAGCTAGGATTTGTGTTACCTATGGGCTCAGTTACATGAGCTTCCACTCACCAAGACATATTTGATGCTGAGTGCTAAATGCTTTGGCTAGATGGTTGGGAAATTTGAAGGAAAATAAATAGAAATTGGTGAGAAAGATGTATGGTTCTTTCCAAGTGTGTATTAGTTACTTTTGTCATTATTGTGATTAAAAAACAAAACAAAACCTTGACAAGAAGCAACTATCATGGAAGGATTTATTTTGCACTGGTGTTTAAGGGATTTAGTCCATTATCACATGGGATGAAAAGTAGCAGGAATGTGAGGCAGCTGGTCACAGTCTGTCACAATAGGGAGCAGAAAGTGGACAAGATTAGGACTTGACTTAGATACCTCAAGGCTTGCCCTAAGTAACACGAATCTTCTAGCTAGGCTTCACTCCCTGACCTTTCTCATCTGAGAACCAAGTGTCCAAAATTACGAGCCTGACCTGGTAGAATCATGGCAATCTCATAATTCAAAGTACATTTATTCCAACATCAAAGGTCCCCGTAGTTTAACAATTGGAACACTGCTCAAAAATCCAAAGTTTCTTCTGAGACTCAAAGTATCTCTTCTTATTTTTTTAAATATTTATTTCTTTTACTTTATGTGTGTGAATGTTTTGCCTGCATGCATGTATATGCACCACATTCTGTAGCTGGAGAGTTTTCTCTTCAGGTCCCGCCAAGCCCTGGCAGTCCGACAGTCCACTTATAAAATAAACAAATAAACAAATAAAATATATTATTTAAACTGTTTGGCCTAATGGCTCAGTCTTCTTGTTAACTGTTCTTATATCTTAAATTAACCCATTAATTCTATTAATCTATACTTTGCCACTTGGCTCATGACTTACCGGCATCTTCACATGCTGCTTGTCATGGCAGCGGCTGGCAGTGTCTCTCTGCCTCAGCCTTCCACTTCCCAGAATTCTCTTCTCTGTTGTTCCGCCTATACTTCCTGCCTGGCTACTGGCCAATCAGTGTTTTATTTATTTACCAGTCAGGGCAACACATTTGACATACAGACCATCCCACAGCACTTCTCCTTTTCTTTTTTTTTTTTTTAAAAAGGAAGGTTTTAACTTTTACATAGTAAAATTACAGATAACAAAACAATTATCAAGCAAGAATTACAGTTATAATATCTAGTCTATTTATAATAACTACTCTATTTGGCAAAATTAAAGAAGATATCCTATCTATCTTATATTTGTGAGTCTAAGATTTCATATCTAACTTATCTTTTATCATAACCAAAGAAAAGTATAACTATCTAGTCTTTACATCAAAGACCTCAGAAGGATATAATACTACCTGAGAAATGGGAGAGGATGCAAGCAACTTTTGGGTGTCTTGCAGGGTAGACAGAGACAGCTGGCCACCTGGACAGTCACCTAATGTTCCTTTGTAAAGTTGGGGCATCTGTCTTCAGCCCACAGGCCTAGAGTCTCTCAGTCATTTCTCTCTGTGTCCTGTAGAATGTCTGGCAGTTTCCTCTGTGAAGCAGGAACCTGAAGGATCATTTTGC